TACTAATAATCCTACCGAATTATATTTTCCGTTTATAAACCTCGACTTAAGCTCTATATATCCCGAGAGAATCCAGAACAAGTTCTCTAGTACTTGCCCAAATACTATTTTAAAGCTAGAGAAATACGTCTTTATATATATAAGAAAGAGATATTCTCCTATTAATATTTAATTAGATTCAGAAGTCTATTTCGTTATTACTTAAGAGAATATCCTATTAGATTTCATAAAAATATAAGTAATATTACTAGAATTTATTAGTATTAAATATTTTCGGAATTAGCTACCTAAAAAAAATAAAGACTTTATAGTTATAATATTTCAGAAAGATTACTATAAGCGGTATAAAAACAGGCTTCTACTACTAAGATTATAGAATCTCAGCTTATTATCTTCTATATATAGGATATAAAAGTAATATAAATAAATATTACTAGATCTAAATCCCAGAACTTATATTATAAGAGTTATAAAAGTAATAAATATAGAGGTTATTAGTAAAAATACTCTTAATTACTAAGTATTTTACCCATATTAAATTTAAAACAGATACTATAAATAGTAAGTCCTAAGCCTAAATATTATTCTAGTTATAGATACCTAAATATTCTATATTCTAAATCTCTTATTAATTATCTTAATTCTCCTATACCTTAACTCAGAACTATTTCTATATAAACGGCTCTTAGTAGCTATAGATTTATTATTAAAAGAGTTTTTTTAATATTAAGTCTTTCTATAGTTTCTATACTATAAGCTATCTATACTAAAGAAGGCAAATATCTCTTTAATATAAGAAAGAATACGACCTGAAATAAGATTTCTCTTAGAAGCCATAAAATATATATATTTATATATATAATCTTAGCTATCTAGCTAAGGCAAAACTTCTTCTAGAAACGTTATTTCCTTTTTTTTTAAGCTAGGGCCTTGAAATTCCGTAATTTAAACTAGCCTATAACTATTATTTTTATATATTTATATAATATAATCTTTAAAGGCACCTATATTTCTACTATTATACTAGTATATGGCTACGAAATCAATTATATAAGATAAATATCTAGAGAGAAAGTTTTTAAGCTATCTCAGACTCATATATTTACTTCTATTAGTAATAGCTAAAGAACTAAACTTGATTTTACTAGTAAAAGATTAGAGGTAATTAAGATAGCTAGTTATTATTATAGTAATAATAAGATTTACTTGAGAATCTATATTAGGCTTATTAAATATAAGAAAGTAAATTATATCTAATATAATTACTTTCTTTATATTTAATTCCTAATTTTATATAGGATTCCCAAGTCCCTAGAATATAGGTATATATTTAATACTTAATAGTATATTAAGTATAATATTAGCCTAATTATAAGCCTATATTATTTCTGGATATTTTTGAAATACTAAAACAAGTAATATATTATTATAAGTAACTCTATATTTATCTAGTAAGGAAATAGAAAAGCTAAAAGTAATAATAGGTTTTACTAATAAAAAGTAGAATATTAGTAAAGTTATAGAAGCTTCTCTTTATAATAAGGAAAACTATATAGTAGGCTTAAATAAAACAAAAACTCTAACTATAAAAATAAGTATAATATATTTTTTAAACTCCGGGAATACTACTCTAGTAAATAAGACTATAGTACTTGAAATATATATTTATATATCTAATAGTACTATAGATATAGCTAGGCCTATATAAATTCTCTTAAAGATAAATATAATACCAGGGGCAATTATTATTATAACCGATTTTAATTTACTAGTTTTATATAACCTATATATATCTGCTTTAATACCTTTCTTTTTAACTATAGTAATACTATTATTTATATAGGCTAATGCCTTTGGAAAGAATATAAAGAAAACTAGAATAAGACTCGAGATACTAATATATAATATATTTACTAATTACTTTAATTAGAACTATTTAATATACTAGTTAAATAAAATTACAAGGGTATAAAATACTAGATAACCTAGTTATAGCAGATTATGAATTAGATACTTGTACCTATTAGATTAGTTTTGGCCAAAATAATAAAAGTTTTCCAAGCTTAGTATTGCCTACTATTTAGGAACTTAGTAATAAAGCAACTTCCGGCTAGCTCCTATCTAGCTAAAGTTTAATAATATATTCTTAATATATTAAACAAATATTTATTAATAATTATTAATTTAATAAATTCAAGAGATAATATTACTATATCTTATATTATTACTCTTATTATACTTCTTATAAACATTATATATTTTTAGTAGATTAGTAATCTTATAGCCAAAGTTTACCCTACTTTAACTTGGCAGACCTATACTAGAAGAGGAAATTATATAAATAATAGTAATAAGATTATTCTTAATACTAATTAGTATTAGCTTTACTTAATAGTTAACTCTACTAACTACTTTACTAATAATACCTGAAATACTATATTTTGCCCGGATAATATTACCTGTACTATAAACTATATTTTTAATAGAGCTAATTATACTAGTATATATAGTATTATAATAAGTAGTAACTTTTTAAAACTTGACTTTATTACTATATTAACTTAAAAGAATATTAGATCCCGTATTTATCTTATAGCTAATAATACTATATACTAGTAGTTTAATATACTTACTTAAGAATTTATATTTAATATAAATATCTCTTAGCTATCTTATAGTTTTAATAAAGCCTTATATATATTAGGCAAGTATTCTTAAATATATAAATATTATCTAAATATACTAATATATATTTTAGCTATAGCTAAAGATAATAGTCTTTCTATATACCTAGGTAATAAGGCTAGTATAACCTATAATATTAGGTATTATAATACTTAATATCTATAGGATCTTAAGTTTATTAATAGCCAAGTATACTTATCTTACTAATATAAAAGATATATACTAATAAATAAATAGGGAAATATAAATAGATAGGTTATATTAAAGAATAATACTAGTAATAATACTAGTAATTACGGGTTATACTATACGGAAATAGATATCTGGGAGGCTAATTTCATTTTAATAGCCTTTATTTCCTATTTTACCGAGAATATATTATAAACTATATATACTAGGAACTTATATAAAAATATAGGCTTTATAAATAAATATACTAGAACTACTAATCCAGACGGATATAATTTCAACTCCTATTATATAGGGAATATAACATTCTATAGCCCATATATAAAAGTAAATACCGAGTCTATTTTTACTATTATTACCTAATTTCTTACGAGTATAGGAACCCCGTTAGGAACTATAAATGAGATTAAGCAATTCTATATCCAAAACAGTATAGTAATCCCAAACTCAATATTTATAATTCCTGGTATATCTAGTAACTTAATTATAACTGAGTTCTATAAGGCTCAGAAGACTATTTTTAATAATATTAATAATTTCGCTACTTACGGTAGATTTGCCTCTATAATAAGTACTATAAATAAAGAAATAGTTTTTGTAATATCTTTTTAGGACAATTATACCGCAAACCTTCTTTGGCTTAATAGTAACTACCCTACTACTATAGACCCTAGTACTCCCGGTATCTTATATAGAACTTGCTTTACTTCTTTAGATATTCCTATAACTATTAAGGCTAGTAGTCCCAATACTTATATTATTTACTCAAATATTAAAGTTAGGCCTATTAACTTTACTTTCTCGGCTAGAAATATCTCTAGTAGTAGCTCTCTCTTATTACTAATTACCTTACTAAATTATATTAGTTTGCGAAATTCGACTATCTTAAGAGCTATAATAAGTACCTAACTCTTAAATATAATAATAACTCTTTTAAAGACTTTATACCGACCAAATTCAATAACCCTTTTAATTTTATAGCAGCCAAATTCTTCCCAAGCAAGGTCCGAAATACTTAAAGTTCAAATAACTAGTTAATTTATTCTATTACCTCGCAGGACTACTATAGTAATAATTAGTAGTAATATATTAACTATAATAGTAATAGTATATAGAATAGCAAGTAGCGGAATAGTAAGTAGGAGACCGCTAATAGGCCCCTCTTATAAAGAAATAATATAGGAGGATATTAATATAATAATATTATTTATAAGAGTTTAATTATATATTCCTGGTTTAGGGAAGTTACTATTACATATTAATATGCTAGTAGAGAGATAAAGGAGCTAATAAATCCTAGTATTATTTATAAGGGTTATAGTATATTGGAAAATAATACTTAATTATTTCAAAAATAGACGAGGTAGTCTATACTCACAGGGTTTTTTTTAAGCAAAAGGGGGCGAGCCGATTCTACAAGCAGTAATAATAGTAAAAAGGAATTTGAGATACAAAATAATAGGCAATTATATAAGACAAAGTGGCTGGGTGTTATATACCAGCCTTTAATAGAGGTATCTAGGTATTAGTACCAAAATTGGATGAGGTAGTCTATACTTACATTTTTTTTAGTAAAAGGGGAGGCAGCCGATTTTGCAAGTTAGTATATGCTTAACTCCTCTTTAATTTAATTATTTAACTTGCTATTCCTTTATAGTAGAAGGCGAATTGGGTATCGCAAGTTTTTTAGTTAATTATTTTTTAGCGCAGTCCATTTCCAGATACCTGTAGCTATGTACCCCTGTCTAGTTGTACTCCAAGGTACTGCTGCTAAGTGGAGCCAATTCTTGCCCTCACGCCCAAGCTTATAAATACAACCAGGAGCGAAATGTCCTCTTTTTTTATTGAACTTATGGCACGGACCAGGAATTCGCCAAAATGGCTCTTTGAACCAAAGGGAATATGTTATTATCAGCCAAAATATCAGTTATAGAATATGTTATAAGATGAATCCATTGCTTTGATTAGGCTTGGCAACGATACCTGAGGCATCGATTCGGTATTGATACTGGATGGTATTACTCAGGTATTACTAATATCGATACGTATCGATACCGAATCGATTCTTATACCGCTTTCTACCCCGCACCCTTTAATTTTTACTCTCTTTACTTCTCTCACCTCATATTACGATTCCATTCAGATTACACTCTCAAAATGTCTTCTCTATCTGAACTAGACTTTTCCTTTTTAGCTTCCGCTTTAGTAGAATTAATTTCGACTTCCCAGAATTATATAAAATAGAGGTCTCCTGCTTGGGAGTACTATCGTTCTCCCACTGAGGAGGAGAACCAAGCTTATCTTTATTACGCTCATTATACTAATTCAGAAAAATCGCCATATAGTACTTCTATTACTCAGAATATAAAGAAGTACTTGAAAGGCCATTACCAGATTATTATTAAGAAGGTTTTGAGCAAGAACCAAGTAGCGGTTAATTTGTAATTAAAGTAATATTACCAATAAGCTACTGGAACAAGCGAGAGAGAGGAGCTTAATACCGAGATCCTGGAAGCCCATCTCAATAGCTTAATTATTACTAAAGCTTTAATTTCTCTTATTATTATACGGAATTTGTCTTATACTCTCATTAAATGACCAGAGTTCCATATCTTTTGCCAACTACTAAACCGAGCTATTACGGGCAAAATTACGACTTCTTATTCAGGAATTGCTAGCTCAATTAAAGAAGCTTGGGGAAAATATCAGAATACCGTATAACAAGTACTCCAGGCTATATTCTCACTTATCCATATCTCTCTTAATATCTGGACTTCTCTAAATCAATAGCTTTTACTTGTGATCTGTGGCCATTTTACTACGTATAATAGAAAGTAATAAAAGGCCCTTCTCGCTTTAAAGAAGGTTTCTGGCCATAGCTCAGAGGCTCAAATAGTAGTTTTTTGGCCAGTTCTTCAAAATTATAGCATTATTAATAAGCTTGGAGCTATTATAAGCAATAATGCTTTTACGAATAATGTTCTTTGTCATACGGTTCAAAAGAAGCTAAAGGATACGCTTGGCTTGAATTAGGAAGTAGATTACTAGTATATTCGCTATCTGGGCTATATTATTAATCTGATTATATAAGCCTTCTTATTTACGAATCAGATTAGCTTGGAGAAGCTTGATTCGTATAATGAGTAAGAGCAAGCTAAAGCCTTTAATATAATAGAGGCAATAAGGGCCTAATTCAGGCTAATAGGTTCCCTTGGCCAAGTATATAATATTATGGTTTATATTTGTGGATTAGCTAGAAGAATAGTGAAGTTCCGTATACTTATAGGAAGGCTAATTCCAATAGATAATTATACGAGATGGAATAGCTAGTATAAGATGCTTCTTATATTACTCAACTTATGGCCTATAGTAGAAAGATATTATTAAGACTATAAGGAGAAGCTTGAGGAGGATATCTTGACTCCCAAAGATTAGAAAAAGCTTCGTATAATTAAGGAGTTCCTTGCTTCTTTTATATAAGCTACTCTTACTACTAAGGGCTCGACTTCTCTTAATTCTACCCTTTTTATAATAGATATTTTAATTAAATACCTCTAAGAAGAGAATATAAGTTTTCCTTTTCTATTATATAACTATACTAATTCTAATAGGCTAAATATTAGAAGAGTAGAGATCCAGAGGGAAAAGACTTTCTTTGCCGAATTGAGGCAGTATATAAGGTTCTAGATAATTATTATATAAAGACTAATATGTCTCTAGTTTATACTACCGTATTAATTTTAAATCCTCGTAATTATACAAGGTATATTAAGATATACTAGCTAAAGAAATAGTCCAAACCAGTTCTAGTCAAGATTAAAAAGCTCTAGGAGAAGTATAGGAAAAGGGCTATAATTATACCTACTCCTCTAGCTTTTTCGTATAATAGCTCGTCTTACGAGATATTAGAACTAGATATCTTTAATCGAATTTCTATATCTCTCCGGGCAGTAGCTCGGCCTGTAAATTAAGACGAGTTTAAGGACTATAACTTACTAGTATTATATAATCCTGGTAAACAGGGGGCCCTTGCTTAGTAGTATTAGGATATATAGAGGCAATACTGGCTAAGGCTCTCTCTTATGGCTATTAATATCCTCTCTATTCCACTAATAAGTAATAAGCCAGAGAGAGTATTTTCAGGGGGTTAATATATAATAGGCTAGGATAGGGCAAAAATGGAGGCAGAGACTATTAAGATACGAGAGTACTTAAAGCATTAGAAAAAGAGTGGAATTCTAAATACTTTCCTTGAAACTAGCTAGGGAAAAATCAAAAAAGGGCAAATATTAAGAGCTCAATATAGTCTATTAGGTATTATATAAAAGCCAGGCAATTATATAATACAAAAAGAGTAGTTCTATCTATTTATTTGTAATAGAAGGGATACTCTGGCCAGGGTAATATCCAGGCTTTAAAACCCGGCCACTTTATATAATTTAAGGGGGTTTGGGTTATCCTCTACTATTATCCTCTTCTCTATTATTATTAATATCTTGTATACTATAATGGGTCATATGACCACGATAAATATAGTTACTATATACTCTATATCACTCTTCTCCAGGAACCCTTAAGTACTTCTCAAAAATGCCTTGACCATTTTGGTAAGTAGTATAAGAAGTACGGATATTAACTTGGCTACTATATTATTTAGTATAGATTATATAAAGTATAAAGAAGTAACTTATACTTATTAAGTCAAGATTATATTAATAACCTCAGGAAGAAGCGGGATATTGAAGGTATTAGGAGTATAGGGACCCTTGATTGCGATATCTGAGGGGGCAGGATTAGTGATATTAAAGGTATTTTACTATTAAGGGCTACTAGTAATAACAGATGGCTCTAGTTCATTACCTCCTATACGAAGGAAGTAATATACGTTATTATAGCTATTAAGACGAGTCCAGATTACCAGATCTTGCTGAGCTTGAGCTGCTATCTTGACTAGTATATGTATGTATATGTGTGTATATATGTATATATGGGAGTAGGTAGAATGGAGGGTATGTGGAAAGTATGTGTAAATTAGAGAGAGGGTTGGGAGCTGAGAGCTTATTTTAAAGGTATCTGGATTATCGAAAATTAAAAATGGGAGTATAAATAACTCAGATTAAGCTATATTGCATTATATGAAGCTATGATTCACGTAGTTATTTGGTATAGTTCAGACGATAGTACTAAAATTAGCTGGGGCCTTAGAAATAGGGCAAAGTATTACTAAGAATCGATTCGGTATTAATAGTATCGATACCTTACGATTCTGGCATCGATACGTATCGATACCGGAAATTAGGTATTTCTGCCAAGCCTGGCTTTGATCCTTATGGGAGCTATGTAGACTATATAATGAATCAAAGAGAGTTCTGTTAAAGTGAAATTTGGGCATTTACCCCTATTCTTCAGCAGAATAAGGGGCCGACACCCGATCCTGACGATCTGTTTGAAGTGAGTGCTGAATTCGCAGATCTAACCATAGGAAACTATATATCAAACACTGAAGTGACGATTCTATCCGACAGTTAACACTATATTTGTCCCGGCTCAAATTTAACAAATAACGTTGATTTTCTGTTTGTAAGGATTTTGAGGTGGTTTGATTTGCTCCCGCTTCCTACTGAAATTCCAGGAACTCTGGGCTTCCTCCGAATAGGCAAAACCCACTAGTTGAACATGATTTCGATCGGTTTGCTCGTCATTTGTAAGATCATCCAGGCCAAGCAGATTCTTTGTGCAGTAAGGAACAGTAGTCGCAACGTCTTTGGCATCCTCCTCTACTAATCGAATCACATAACTTAAATTACCAATCCTGGTTAGACCGTCGCCCGGTTTAACGATTCCAGAGCAGATTCCAATCTTCTGCCGTGGCTTTCTCCTTTCTCCGTACAGTCCTATAAGCTTTTCTTCAAGCTCTTCATAGTACATAAAGAGGAAATTTTCTTTGAGCAGGTATCGCGCCAATCGGAGCATGTATTCTTGATCGTGCTCTGACAATTTGTGTTCTGCCCTTAATCTGATCCGCGTAACTTCAGTCAAGACATCTTCCCGTAGGAAAAATGGCGTACCAAACTGAAAAAGTGCAACTAGCCTATATTCCGCATCTGAGCGATTGCCCGAGCAATCTTGGGAATACCACCAATCCAATAGTTCCTGCCACTTCCAGGACGAAGTTGATGGTGCAAAAACACCTGTGAGAACATTGTAATTTCTCTTGGTGGTACCAGTGGATTTCGGAAGTAATATCAACCTTATTCCCCCGTCTTCTTGAATTGCTTCCAGTTCCCTGCTTGACTCGCCTTTATTACCACCTGGGGGTAGAATTCGGCGTCTTGGCCCAGCCCAATTAGGAACCCAGGAAGGTCCCTTCCCATCCAAATCACTTAGAGCCCCAAAAGCAGCAACGTGTTGCACTAAATTGAACCATCGACCATTGACAGCGCACTTGGTAGCGAAGTTGGTAAAATTAATATTCCAACCAATCTTGCAGTCAATCGCTGGAGTAAGGTTTTCTGGCGTCGATTTAGCTAGCCCGTATAGGGCAAAGAGTCTATCATTGGGGTCTGAACATTCGGCATGATCAAGATTCCAGAGAAGGTCGAGCCAATCAGTATTTTTGCCCTGGATGTTCTGCACGGTGTCGAGAGCATGAAATGAGTGGCTGCTCAGTTTTGGCTGATTTTGAATGCTCGTGTGACTTTTAAGATAACTAACAGCGTCTACGAGCCAAACCCAGCCGATTTCCTCGGTGTGACATTGAATTGTAGTATTTCGACTTTGAGCTACCTCCTGAAGGATCCATCGTCGCCGGAACCATGGCCTGTCGAGCAATGAATTAAGAATCAAATGCCAGTCTTCAGGAAGGGACGTGATCAATTCCTCTATCCTCACGTTGTCGTATTGCGCCAAAGCAAAGGATCGGATCAGAGCAAATGACTCTTTTATACAATGTTTCTCGTCCCCCAGCCAAATAAGAACCCTTGCGGCCTGGTTATATATCTTGCTCATAAGTGGAACTTGCTGCGCCTTCTCTTCTTTATCCGCTTGGTTCAACGAGATCGCATCAATCCAGAGGTATCGAACTCGGTGCTTCTTTCGCAAGCGGCGAAGCATGTTGTCGACATTGGGGGTGATCTTCGAAACACTGTTGCCATTACAGATAAGGGCCTTCGTAAATTCAGGAATTCCCCAGGCATATGAAATAGCTTCGTAGTAGTTCAGGCAGTTGTCGGTCAACTTGTAAAGTCCTGGTCGATCTTTGGTGATGATGGTACAGTGAAGGGGGTCGTTGAACGCTTCAGCCTGATGTAGTGCGATGATTCGGATCGACTCTGAGGTAGCGAGTTTGGAGTATTGATATGGTGGAAGTGCTCCAGTATCTCTTGCGGCAAAGATGAATTTCAGCATGTTTTTGAATTTCCAGCTTTGTTGGATGTCCAGTGATGTGGGAATTCTATCAGGAGCTATATGTGCACGCTCAACGCGATCAGGCTGGGGCGGCGCTCGAATCTCAGGTAGCCGGATTACGGAAAGCCGTAAGGATCAAGTGATCAAGCGATTTTCGAATCCGGTTTTCGACTTTCGATGTCCGATTTGTGGCCCGTGCTCCCACCAAAAATCGCCCACATACCACACCCCCCTCTCCCTGTACCTCTACCTATTATTACTGCTTAAAATATTACTCTCTCTTTGATTCTTATTTATATATATATATATACAGGAGAGGGGTGA